TTTGATGGAATTGCACTGTTGCCAATTTTAAGAATTAAATTAAAAATATCATTCATTGAATATTTCAACTCTTTCACTATAAAATCTACTGTGGAGTTGGTTACACCAGTTGCAAGTAAAGTGCAACAAAAATTGGTTAACGATTCTGTCATTATCTTAATTCCTAAATCTACGGATATTTCATTTGAAATATTACTTGCAAAATCGGAATCGTCAAAATTATTTGCACTAATTATTTCTATATTATCTTCATTGTTTGGCTGTATATCTGGAGTAATTGTGTCGGCAGACTTAGCGTCATGAGATTTTGTATGCCGTAAAAAATAACTCCAAGAATTAATTTGCGTCAAACAATTACTAAACGGACATATTACCTCTTTAAAACATATACGACTAAAATTATGTATGTACTTAACATGTCTAATTAAACTAGCACTATCTAACATCAATTTACTGCATAATGTGCAATTGAACATTTTGAAATATGTACTTTTACTTAAGCTGGTTAAAAACTTGTTTCACATTACGAGGCAGATTTTCGGCATCCGTCTCCAATCCATAAATGTAAACTTGAACAAATTTCCATAGCCCCCTCAAACTGATGTCGTACTCGGTCCCAAATACATAATGGCTTTTGAAGAGAATGTCAATGGCTTCGGTGGAATTTTTGGATGCAATTGGGAGCAGCTGACCGTCACATACGATGAAAAAACTTGACAAATTTTTCTTATCAACTCCTAACAAACTAGATTTGGCTGCTTCAATTCGGCTTTCCAAGTATCCAAGATAGATTGCAATGGAGTCCCGGCCTATAACCAAAATTATATTTTTAATCAAAGATAACTATTCTGACCTATTGAATATGTATGTGCATTAAATGCACAAAAAATATAGAAGCTTATTTCGGTGTTCTAAAATACCTTGAAGAAATTAATTAATTTTGTTTTTGCACCATCCAAAGTACAATGATTTGCCTTCCCTTGTCCTTGTGCTGTTGGCGGAATCAAATGGAGTAATGTAAACAGCGCACCAATTGAAGAATCCCATTCCCCTATAAAATTTTTAATGTATTGATTGTGGTAAATTAAAATAATGTATTTATTTCTATTATTTAAATAAATATTTTACCACAGCCCTGTGCAAAAAATCTTATAAGCGCAGGAGACTTTTTGATACTGCCGGCCCTTTGTAATATTTTGTCTACCCAGGTCGGCCAAGATTTTAAGAAGTTATCGCTTTGCTCAGGGTGGAGTTGAGAAAACTCAAAATTGATCTATAAATCAGGTCAAATATTTTTAGTTATTTTAGTTATTTTTCATGTGATTAAATCAAATTACCATAGACTTCCATTCCTGGAATTTTCTGTAAATTTTTAGAATGGATGAGTCACTTCTGAGCCGTAAATAATTACGGTGAGCGAGTGTCTCCAACGCTAGTCTCTTCAACTCTTCTTCATCTTTAATGGGCGTAGAATTAAGTTTGGCAATTATTTCTTCGTTATCTACAAAGGATTCTGCTACATCCGAATTTGATACAGCGTTTTGATTTTTGCAAACGCGTTTTGATTTTGGCTGCTTCGTTTCATTTAGATGGCGATGTATTGTTCTTAGCCGAGCTTGGATAAGTCCGGAACGGTTACCCTCATCATAAAGTATATCCTGTAACAAAAAAATTGTTAATAATTAACCTAGGACTCGACGACTCATCACCCAAATACTAAAATTCAGCACAATTTTCATCACTCTTCAGCTGTGAGAATCGATTTTAAAATTCTGGACAAATTTGTGCTCATGATGTTCACTAAATTGCTACGATGTTTGTTAATTAGGGCTAATTAGTTCCAATTTTTTTAATCTCCTTCTACAAAACTGTCCAATTCTAGAGTGTATATTTTTTTCCAACCATCATTGTAAAAATTTGTGGCCCAGAATTTTTAAATAAATTACCAGACCAGCAGAACTGACTAATAATGTGACAATTCTTGACATTGGGTATTATAAACGTGGAATGTTTAAATTATATATTATGACACTTACAATTCCGTTTTCTGACGCTGCATACTTCCAGCAAGATAAGATTGAAATTACAGTATGAGCAAGTAATTTCTGGTCAGCTGTTGAAGGTGAATTCCTATTAAGCAAGAAATAATATTCAGTCCGGGATGTAAAATTCATTCTATAAGATAATTCTGTCCTTACCCTTTTAGCTCAATTAATTTATTAACAAATGATTTTATTAAAATATCCCCCTGGATGTGTCGACAAAGGTTTTTTCATTGCAGTCAGTGACCAAACGTTATAATTCCTCGTCACTTTGTACAAATTCCTCAAATATCTACAAAAATATAATGACGCAATATTAATTTGTTTTCAATATTTGATAATATTTTTGTAAAATTTGTGTTTTGGGGATTGTGAGTTACCTGCTTAAATCCACTTTCAATTGTATTTTTAGTTGACAAAAGAAGAGGAGGTGAATTAACTTGAGAAGTTTGACCTTGTGAACGTACAAATACAAAAAGGGAAATTCGTTTAGTTAATAAAAAAATAGAAATTATTGATAATATGAATTATAGCTCATATTATAGATAATAGAATTAATGCTACAATACGGGGTCGATTTGCTACGGAATTTTGTTAAGCTTGTTAAGCATAATTATGTTAAGCATAATTTTGTTAAGCATAATTTTTCTAGACACATCTTTATTTTTACGGTAGCAACCAAAGATGAAAATTGTGTCAATGTTGGTGACAATTTTAGCGCAATTTCAGTAAGAACAGCCTTTACTATAGGCTGGTAGCAATTAAATTCAGGCTTTTGCTACCAACTTGCTTAGAGTGTACTACGACAAGTGGATACATACTACGGACGGATTACTACGACAAACGTACGTAAGTGGGTATAAGAGTAGTGCAAAAATATATTCGCAACATGTATAGATATGCATGGATGGATAGGTATGTGCAAAAAGTTTCGCACTCGAAGAAGAAGACACTGGTGTGTATGGTATAGTAAATTTGCAAATAATTTGTATGCATATGCACATAAGTAAGTTGTAATGTCAAAGTGAACCATTTAACTAACTGGCTATTAAACATGGATTGGATAACATTTATCTCATGGAAAGATGCATAAATTAAGATTCTTTTTTTTAAAGTCGGGTTTGTTGATTATTTATTTGTTGTTGTTTGGAGTTAAGTAATTGTGATGCTGGTTAAAGACGTCATGAATGGATGGGTGTGTGATATTGTTACTTAAATTTAAAACTCCCCCGGGGGGAAATGTGGGGAAATATATATAGTTGTGTCTCATCTTGTCTCGTCTTACCTCATCCTAGTAAAAAAAATGTCCCTTTGAGATTTGTCACCTTGATGGGTAGCAATTCTGTCCAAGAACGAACATGGAAGTGTTGGCTTGAGGGTCGGCAAGGATTGGAGGTTGTCTGGGGTGCGTGCAAAAGGATGAGGAGAAATTGAGATTTTTTAAACCTTAAGGGTACCCCCAGGAAAAATAATGGGAACATTTTCTGTCTCAATTTTCCCATAATTTCATCCTCCTTGCCGACCCCTTGCTCCAATTGGGGTGACAATGACCCAATTTCCTCTTCACTGCAGATAAGATAAGCCATATCTATGCATACCATACCATTGTCAGTGTCACCATGAGATGTCATCAATTTATTGGGGATTTATTGGAGATTATTACATACAAGAAAAAATTTGTGCATATTAACCTTAAATTTATGACATTTAGACACTCCGATTATTTTCTGTGTAACAATTAACGTTCTTCTTTTTGGATCGGGTTTTAGGTGAGACGTTTCCCTGAGACGTTTACGTTTTATGTAACAAAGATTTGATAAATGTGTTTGTGTCTTTTGTTGAGATTTTTTTATGCCTGGAGATGAAATTGAAAGTGAATTTTCTTCTTCTTGGAACGTGACTAAGATGTTGACCCCCCAGGAGATGAGAACGTATCAAAGTGGATATTGTAAGGATGTATGACCATGACTTTGGTTTTGTAACACATGTATAGGAAGCATATGCACGTAGACAAAAGTCAGATTTACGCCATGCCCTATTGGATCGAGTAAACAAGGCGATAACATTAATTCGCGAATAATTTTGCGAATAATGCAAACTATAGATGCATACGTATGTGACGCACTTGAACTTGACACTGGCACAACAAAAGTGTAGACGTAGTTTTAAAACTTAGTTTTAAATCAGGATTTTAAGAAAGTGAAAGTATAAATAATTTAAGCATCATCTTGCACTGAAGAAGAGTGCAATAAGTTTAGAGTGCAAAATTGATGACGACACTGGCCAAAAGTGAACGGATGAGTTTCTGATCAACGTATTCTCCAGGTTCATTCCACTTGTGGTCGTTTTATGTAACAACTAGTAGTAAAGCCCGTCCCACGGATGGGCGGAGGATATATCTATATATATAATTGGCTGTGTCTGTGTGTAACAATGAACTTTTGGTTAAGACATTAGTTTGTGAATTTATTTAGATTATTAAGGAAGCGTTCGCTGAATACATTAATTTTTAGTTTATGACCACCACTGCAACGTATATATGGACGTTGCAAGCAAGCAGTGTAAAAGATTCATAATAATCGTTTTTAAAACGCTGATTTTAATAAATTTGCATAGACCACGCATGTAAATATATTTACATGCACTCAAAAAAATTCTATCACCAGAATGTTACCAGGCGGTGACTATATGTGACTCTACTGCGCTGGTAGAAGAGCCATTACCGTGGAGCAACAGAACCATCGTTACTAGGTGGGTAGAAGGATAGCCAGCACGCGGTAATAAGTTCGGTGATAATGGTAATATGCAGGTCTACAGTTGGTAAAAGCTCGGTAATGCATGTTGGTAGTAAATAATGAAATAAAAATGGCTCACGTGACACATATTTATTCTCATTTATTTATAAACACATTAATTAAGTTTTTTTTACAAATTATTGTTGGATTTTGGTGTATTACTTAATTATACGGGCTTTTTAAAGTAGTACATCGTAATTATATAATTACCATACAACTTGACATTTTAAATTAAATTAAACATTTAACAGGGAAAATTAGACCAAATTCATAACACAACAAAGTTACGTCTATAATTATAGGGGCCGTACTATATTTGATCTGTTGACCTTATAATATATGATATACTAACGGGGAACAAAAATAATAATTAGACATAAAATATATAAAGCAGGACTAAATATAATTTCTCGCAATTCCGTCGATCGTCTGAGGATAATACCATGCTGGGACGAGGTCAACAATAGCTTTTGCAAATAATTTTTTCTCCCTGGTTGATGGTGCCTCTCTGTAAAGAAAAAAAAGATTAGCCGATTTAAACAAAATATTTGCACAGAAAATTAATTAATCAACACTTGCCCTTTAAGTCGAACCACTTTCTCAACAAATTCTTGAACCAATTGATCCAGCTGATGCTTCCACAAATTTCTTTTTGTTATACTCCGACACAAGATTTTCCAGTTCAGGATTCTGCTCCATGCCACACCAAAATCAAAAACAGTTTGTCAACAGAACAATTATAATATTGGAATACGGTTTTTGAAAATGACCTACTTGATAATAATTGTCGACTTCTTCGTAGCCAACCGGAGCTACTATGGGGGAGGAGCATGAATTTGAAGCTAGAGATTTGTTATCTAAATGAATTAAATAATTATTAACGAGTATTTTAATTAAGGACCGCAATTCATTATTTAAATCCAAACTACTTATTGACCTCTTACCATAAATAACAGCCTGTGAAGAAGTCGGATACATGTATCCAATCTAGGACGGAACTTCTCCCTTGATTTAAAACACAATGTTCGGGATTGATGACTGACTGACCTAAAAATAGTGGGAAGACTGCGGCCGATTTCACCCCTTCGTCCTCTTCTAGATCGATGGACTCGTCAGTATCGAATTAGAACTTTGACCTAATTTAATCACAAAAAATATTATTAATTATTAAACATATAAAGTTTTTATTATTTTGATCAGAAATCTAAATTAAAATTAATTCACTTACCATTTTATAAAACCCATTGTAATCTACATCTTCCTCACACCTTACAAATTTCTTCCCTCTTGAAGGATTCGACACTCTTATTAATTATCACGGATATTCATAATTAATTTTCTGAATTAATTAATTAATTTTCTGGAAATGTGATGGAAGAGAAAGCTGGCATTAATGCACTACCGCGGTGGTGGAGGAGAAGAGACGCTCTCACTTTTACCCGTTTGGTGGAAATATACCACAACTTGGCAGAAAATTTGGTAACAAAGGGTTACCATATTCATTTCCAATCTGGTAGAAGTTTTTACCTAGGTTGGTAATAGAAATGGTAGTAAATTTTCTACCGCGGATGGTGATGGGATGTATTACTACACTCGCGGTAAAACTCGCTATTATGTACTTATTACCACATTATTTTGAGTGTGGTTGATGTATGCAAATTTATTAAAATCAGCGTTTTAAAAAAGGATTATGTCAGTCCAAACTAATTGTATTGAAGGCATGTCTGCCTCAAACACCTTTATTATTACTTTATGTCTTTGGTGGTGTGGGGTTGAGGGGGAAGAGTTGTTGCCAGCCAGCCAGTGACTGATTGTATCGGGTTATTAAGAAGGATAGCTCGGTAGACATGCACTGGTCTTATTGTTGTTGGATACGTCATCATTCTGATGAAACTTTGTTATTGCTGTGAGAGAGATGAATCTGAGTATCAGGATTAATAAGAGTGGTTGTGGATGGATGGAGAGGGTCGACTTGTTCTTCAAGATCAAGACCACAAACCACCACCATGGCGTAAAAAATCTTGTGATAGTTGTACATACTAGTTGAGTGCATGTCACCTTAGTTGGTCGTGTCGTTTGTTCACATCGTGGCGTGGTTGTTACCGCGTGGTATTGGTCCGTGTCATCTCCGTCCATCCATGTTCACTGTGGTCGTGGTTAATAAGTCTCGTTTCTTACTTATATATTGGTCATTCATACCGACTCTGAGAAGAAGTGCTTAGTCAGCAATTGGGGCGCCGTTTTGTCGCCTGGACTGGATTAATTAAATAAAAATATCTCTATGTGCAAGGGACAAAGTGTTAAAAGTAAGTAACCGGTTGTACTTTTACTCTGGTCGCGTATTCAAGTATTTATCCAAGTTCATGGAACTCGTCCTTTCTGGAATGGAATGGATGAAACGTATCGGATGGAGAGCAAGATGACAAGGTCATCCGCATTATTCTTGAGATATTTTACAGGTAAAGATCTCTTCTTGGGTGAGTGATATTTTTATGGGACAAGTTTCTCAGAAGAATGGAGAGTTGGAGAACATCGCCCCCAACAGTGTAGTGACCGACCCAGAGTACAAGTGAACCCATCCTCACTACCATCCATCCACTATCCATACCGTTATTATGAGTGAAGATCCAGCAGCCTAGTCCAGTCCGGGACCAGACCATGCTGTCCGTACCAGATCTTTGCCCTCTTCCCAGGTTCAGCAGTATTTCTACATTATTTTTGCAACTCGGATGAGTTAACTGACTCCAAACCGGGAGTTCATTCATTGACTTTCATTTGGGTAGAATATGTATGCAAATTAATAAAATGGTCCAGGGGAGATTATGTATTGATGTAGAGTTTCATACATTTCGCCCAAACACTCATGGGTTATGTTCAGTGAGTAAGGTAACTAGAGCAATTTAACCCAATCACTCCAGTGTGGTTAGCCAAGTGAGTTGGAAGAGAGGATGGTAGCCGGAGGGACTCCTGGTTCGAGTCCCGCTACTTTTTTTCGTGCAAAAAGTGGCAAGTTGGATCATGCATCCAACTCCCATTGGAGTTGGTAGTCTGAAATCTCACTCACTTTCCCATCACCTCTCCCATTGGCCATATGTACGTATGGGTCTGTTTTGTTCGGGATGGCTGCGACACGGTATGCAATTTTAACGAAATGTCAGTGATATTATCACATCTATCAGTGGCTTGGATATAAAATTTATAACTATATATGTATGTATTTTTGCCAATAGAACATATTTGTATAAATATTTATGTATATTTCTGTGCCAGACAAAGTGATTTATAAGAATTTAAAGTAAACTATTATGTTGTGTATAAATAAATTCTATATTGGTAAATTAGGAGTCACTATTTTGAACGTAGCAGACACAATTATCGAGATGATACCCATACAAATTTACATGCACTTTTACTAGAGTAAAATTTTAGTATAATTACTTCATTATATTACTACTCATTGATGTTTTCTTTGATCTGCCAATTTTCTCGTGCCCAACATGTCCATGAAATTAAAATTGTCACGATACTTATGCTTTTTAATTGAAAATTCGATTTCCTATTGAATGTCTGCACTGAAAACAATTAAAATGTCCGATTTTACTTCCATTGATTTCACTTCTGTTCTAGTTGTTGGAGTTAGATTTTGAGAAGATTTTTCTGAAACACGTTAGTTTAGAATATCAAGTAATGTTTATCACACAAAATCTAATCACAATTGGGACAAATATTCGTTAAAACTTAGTTCGTTAAAATGTTAATCAATCAATCAAACCGATCAATTGACCTCGATTAGAAGTTAAAAGTCGACTTTAACAAAAAGTTGGAATTCATATTTAAACAATATCAATTAATTAAATTAAAATTCGCAGTTTAAAAAAATTGCATGAAACTACTCGTCTTTACTGGATTTATTTTATTGATTACTTTCGACAACGAACTTGATTGTTTGAACCAAATGGATTAACAAAAGAAACAAACAGATGACAAGATTCGATGATGATGACATGATATGTTTAATATACCGAATACTTTACCTTGATTGATATTTATGTAGAAGCACGCTTAAAAAAATAGAAAGACATAAATTTGCAAAGTTCAAAAATAATGATATGATGATATAATGATTATGATAATGTTCGACAGCAATCTTAATTTTATAATTAGGTCAATGCATGGCTTAAACAAACAGATAATATTTATACATGATACTTTTCTTACCTATAGTTTCGAAAATGTTATTGAAACTAAAATTAGTTAATATATTGAACCAACTTCCTAAATTTTCCGAGGACAATATATATTAAACCTTTGAACACTTGATGGTATAAACGTTTCAAAGTTTTTAAAGTTAATAAATATTTTTCCTCAAAATTTTTATCGGATTTCTAAAATTCAGTCTTATAATTTTATGGAGCAATACGTATTTCAGTGCGTCATAAAATTGTAGTTGTAGAAATAAAAGTATAACTTGTTTAGGTTTCATTTCGAATTATTTCGAACATTTCGAAGCCAAATTTGGTTGTATATTAAACCCGTCAAGTATTATGCCTTGCTATAAATGATCCACAGGGTGATTATAAAACCACATTCAAAATTGTGACATGTTCTACCTGACAAATTCTACAAGGCAGCTGAGTTTTTGGCGTATCTGATTTTGATTTGATTTGTATCTTTATTTCTGTCTTTCCCAGTTAATTGTATACATTGCATTACTGAATTTAAATAATTTGGAAATCCTACATGTTAATTTAATTAATATTAATTTATATTCTACATGTAATTTTGACGATAAATATAATTTTCAGCAAATATTTTGTGTATATTAAAAATTTTAATTTAACAGTTCCCCACCAAATAATGTCAGTAATGAAGCTGATAGAGTCAATAAGAGGCAACAAATTTGCAAGAATCTGATTAGTCAAATTGCTTATAATATTATGAAATAATACTTGGATTGGAACTAAACTTGTTCATTTATAAATTTAAACCTTTATTGGATATTTTTGAGAAAAATGCAAATTCCAAACACAAACTTACCTACTAGTACACGAATGCATTACATTATTCCTTATTACTAGTTTGACTAATTTCCGTTTGTCCCTCACACTCCCCTTACTAAATTTTAGAATAATCCGGTACCAATTACCTACCTTTATGGTGATAAATTTGTTAACAACTAGTAGTAACTTAAACTTACCCTAATAATTGCTAGAAAATTGTTAAAAACTAATACAAGTGTGGAAATAAAGTTCTGCCATCGATTTGCATAATTGTAGTAAACTTCGCTATAGAATAGACAGTTGACAGTATAGTGATAGGAATGGACAAATGAAAATCGTTCTCGTATTGTTGAAAAAAAGTTTACCCATTGGTAATAAACCAGCTACCAATCGGTGTAAAATAAGTAAATAAGTTGTAGCCAATGAAGCGTTTGAAATTCATTTGTCCTGTACAAACTAATCAAAGCGTCATTACAAATTAGGATTCAGTGTCTCATTTTGCCGTGGCCAATCAATGAAACCCGAAAAAACGACCAGCCAACCCCAATAGATGGCGAGAAATGTGAAAAATAAAACCAAAAAAAAAGGAAAAGCGCGTCTTTGATAGTATTGAAATTCCATCCAGAACCAATTCCAATTTTCTAGCCGCGCTACTTTCAATCGTGTTTGTTGCATAAAATCCGTTCTCAGCATTGGAAGAATGGCCAGCGCTTCGTAATTGGATTGAAAAGGGGCATGATTTAGTCTCTTTTTCGTACTCCGTCCTTCTATTTTTTAACCTATGAAGAGAATTTATTTCCGTTAAATAATTTACTAAATCAGGTAATTTAAAGCATTGAAATTTCTTACCATATTATCACCGCCAATTTGGTTAGGATTAAAAAGACGAAAAATATTGTGCCAACCATCCAAATGTCTAAAGCTTTGACGTATGCGCTTTTAGGTGAGCCTTGCCTGTTTTTGAGTTACAAATGCTTTAAAAATTTGCTAATTGCGAGACAAATTCATACATGGCGCTTAGCGTTGCACATATTTTTTGCAAACAAGCTATGAATTTTTCTAATGGAATATATTCAATCAAAACGTAACAAACTTGGTTTTCTAAATAATCCACTACAAATTCGAAACATAGACCTTCTTACCTTCTTCTTAAACATAGCCGCAAATAAGAAGGTCTATGTTTCGTTAATAAAAACCACACGTGGAATTATGTACCTGTCCTGCATTGCGGTCAAAGTGAGCACGATTGTCATACAGATTCCCACACGAACTTCCACGAGGCGTTGCGGCATGAAGAAACACAGCCAGGTTATGACTATTAATAGCAAACTCGGGATGAATGTTTGCACGACATGGTAGCTGATCTTGCGACGGAAAATTAATTTGAAGGATAACTCGTCGAATTTTTCGTCTGTAGGAAAAATTCAAAGTTAATTAAAATTATTTTTGTAACCAAAATAGTTATCATATTTGTGAAGCGATATTTAGTCGTACTAATTCTGAAAAGATATGAGGACAGTCGATGCTTAATTTTAAAAACATGTAAGTGTAGTCGCTGCTTAGTTTTGAATAGACGTAAGTTCCATAAGAATAGCATTGAACATACATCTATTTAAAATTAAACATCGACTTCACTTAAGTCTTATCATAATTAGTACGACGATATGTTAGTTAACCGTAGGCACTAAATGTCACATTGCCCCCAAAAAACATTAATATCATATTACCCCAAATTCAAGTTACCTTGAAATACAGCCTTAGATTCTAAATAGCTTTCCAATTGAACGTCAAAATTTGGGTTGTCATGGTCCCCAAAGATCGGTGGTTTCTCCCACA